CGTGGGGGGCTTGGGGAAGAGCTGCGCCGGGCTGAACATCACCTCCAGGGAGGCTGGGGTCTTCCCGTTCGGGGAAGCTGTGGACAAACAGTTTTTGTATCCACAGGAGCATTAAAAACATTTGTTGGCTGAAAATTCCCCCCAGGCGGGTGGGACGTCCGTGCCCGGGAGGCAGCACAGCAGAGGCTCAGGCTGGAAATTTTCCTGACGGCTGCTTTCTTCCACAGCCTGTACGTGAAACTTTTAACTGGCTGGAGGATGGTTTGAAAAACCACTTTGCTCTGGAGATGTTCCAGCAGCCGGAGACGAGCCCTCCCCGCTCTCGCAGATGGTGGCTCATCCAGCTGCCTGAACAGGGAGGCTGAAATCCCTGCTGTCCCACAGCCTCCCGGGAATTGCCCAGAGCTTTTCCAATTCTTGCTCAGACACCCTGTGCGGCACAGCTTCCCGCACAGCCGTCTTGATATTGGAATTTCTTCCTGCCAGTCCTAAGGCAGAGGTTTCCTCCCAGCAGAGCCACCACAGTGCTGCCCGGCACAGAGCCTGGTTCTGCCAGCGGATGCTCCGGCGCTGCTCGAGCCGATGTGGGAGCTGGGGCCAGCCCCAACGGGGCACACAACATTGCTTTATTGGCTGGAAATGTTTTGCTCGTGCTGGGTGGTGGCAGGTGTGAACGCGGCTTTTGCAGCTTCGCTTGGCCAACGCGCTGTCCTTCTCCCGCAGGCCCACGCCCGAGGAAGCTCTCAAGTGGGGGGACTCTCTGGAGAAGCTGCTGCTGCACAAATGTAAGTGTTTGCTGGTCTCTTCTGCCTCTGCTGCTGGGGGAATATCCGGACACGTGCATGAATAAATCTGGGATTTCCTATGGTAATCCCTTCTGGGGTTTGGAGGTAGACAAAGAAATGAGTCTGCCCCTTCCTGCACCCCTTCTACTCCAGCCTGGGCCAGGTGGGGATTTAGTGATAGGGGCCAGGGAGAGCTGTGGCTTGGGGCTGCAGTCCCCCTCCAGCGTGGGGAGGAAAAGGCAGCGATTCATGTGCTTCATTTGGAGCTGTGCAGTGGGTCTGTGAAGCAGGAGCTGCTTTAGACCATTCCCCTTCTTGTGTTATCACATCTGGGGCACCCTGCACTGTGTTCACAGCCCACACCCGTACCCCATAGGGATGGCGAGGGGGTTCGCTCCCCGTTGCTGCATCCTCCCCCTCAGCTCTCCATGCATGCAGCCGGGCTGAGGACTGTGCACTCAGCACACGGATGGCTTGCATTGCCATGCTTCGGCTGGCAATGCTGTCGTTGCCTGTTTTGCTCAAGGGCTCACGGAGGCGTTTTAGGGGGCTGCGGGGAGGCAGTTTAGGTTGCACCTTTGCAGGGTTGCTGAACTGCTCTCTGCCTTCGATCAGGGTGTAGAGATGTGTCTCTGTCCCTGCAGATGGACTCGCTGCCTTCAGGGCCTTCCTGCGCACTGAGTTCAGTGAGGAGAACCTGGAGTTCTGGCTGGCTTGCGAGGAGTTCAAGAAGATCAAATCCCAGTCCAAGATGGTCTCCAAGGCCAAGAAGATCTTCGCCGAGTACATTGCCATCCAGTCCTGCAAGGAGGTGAGGGCTGGCTTCTGTGCCGGCGTGTGGCTCCGCGGCACAGCAGCTGCCTGCGGAGCCGCTCACTGGCGCTGCTGGTCTCTCTGCCCACAGGTCAATCTGGACTCCTACACGCGGGAGCACACCAAGGAGAACCTACAGAACATCACCCGCAGCTGCTTCGACCTCGCGCAGAAGAGGATTTATGGACTCATGGAGAAGGACTCCTACCCCCGCTTCCTCCGCTCTGACTTGTACTTGGACATAATTAACCAGAAGAAAGCCAGCTCGCCACTGTAGACCCAAGGACTGTCTTGGGGCAGGCTGGGAGCTGTGTGTTTACATGAAATCGGGCGGCGAGGCCTTCCTAAGGGACGATGGGAGCACGCCTTCCCGCTGCCCTTCGTGCCCCCAAGCCATATTCCTGCAGTGGATGAGTGTGGGGCAGCGGAAGGCACCGAGCATGAGGCCGAGGGGACCAACAAGCCAAGCAGTCTGGTACTGCTCCATTGCCCCGTCTCACCATCGCTGGTACGACGCCTTCGGGGTGACTCCTGCATGGATTGTAGCCAGGAGGGAAGCTCCCACAAGACTACTGTGAAGCACGCACCTGAGATGCCAGTGCTGCCGGAAGGCGACGAGTGAGCCCCTTCGAGGAAGAGGACTGTTGTGCAGGGCTCCAGCAAGGGGACAACAGCACTGACAGGAGCATCTTCCCCGGATGAAAGGCTTCTGAACTGGACCAGCCCCATGATGCTGCTGTGCTTCCCTGTGCCGGCGATGCCTCACGGCTCCCCCAAAAGCAGCTATCTTGCAGGACCCCGTCGCTTCCTTCGCTCGTGGTGGGTCCCCCTGGGAGCAGCGAAACCAGCTCCTTCCCCTGTGCTGGAGGTGTGCAAGCCAACCGCCTCCCGCTCCCACCCCTGGTTTATTTATTGACCTCCTATAGCTGGACGCGTTGCTGTGTGATAGGAAATCCTCGTGTCCTTTCCTGTTCTGAAATTACAAGTGCAATATTTGTGTGTGTCGCGGTGGAGTTCTCCGGTGGAGTGGATGCCTTTTTTTCCGAGTGCGTACAACGTTTTCTAAGTTAGCAGGTTTTATCTGACAAAACGCGTTCCCTAGCAGCAGGCCGCTGGGGGAGCCTGGGTGTATATATCGTGCCCTGACGACGGAGGGTTTGGTGACGGAGAAGAGCAGCTCTGTGAATCAGACGCTCTCCTTACTCTGGATAACAATACTGTGTTTGGAGAAGCGGGGCTGGTTGCTGGACCTGGCAGAGCTGGACGGACTGCCTGCCTCCAGGCACCCAGTTTACAGTGCGAAGCATCTCTGCAGCTAGCAAAAATACCTTGTCATGGTCATAGGTAAATAAAAGAAGAATATAATTTCTTGTACCTGCCTTTTCTTCGTGGCATGTTTCTCAGTGCTGGCGGAGCCGGGTGTCCCCTGCTTCACCGAGGAGCGTAAGATCTTGTTACTCCCTGGCTAAAGATGGGAAAATGAGGTTCTGTGAATACCTGAGCTGTTTTTTAGGATGGAGCAGCTGCCAGATGCTCGTGGGGCCAGGCCTGGGTGTAGCCCTGCAAGGACACAGAAAGCTTTGCCCAAAACGAGGCTGTTCCCAGGGATAGTGTTCACTGTTTAAACACGGTGGGGCAGGGCTGTCTGCACTTGGAAATGATGAGGAACACAAGTGACCTAGTGTAGTTCTGGGCTCCTCCGGGGACGCACCAGAAGAAGCAACAAAAACGCTCAGCAGTGCTGTTTTGGGCCCCGGCCGCACGGCTTGCCAGGGCTGCTCCCCCCAGCTAAGGCAGCGCCTGGCAGCTCTGCTCTAGGACGGAAACGTTTTGTAGAGGCTGTTTGCGGCGCGTTCGGTAGCTGAAATGTCTCGTGCCCGTCAGCTGCTTGTGATCAGCCCTGGATGGCTCAGAGATGTGCGTGCAGTGCCACGGGGCCGTGCTGTCCCTTGCGGTGGTGCAGAGGGGCTGCTGGCAACCCCCAGGGATGGAGGTGGTGGGGCTGCTCCTGCAATCCCGCCCAGGCACAGCTTTCCCTGGCAGATACGGTCTCTTCTGGGAAATTGTCTGTGATTCCCTCCTTAAACAACCAGCAGGTGATAGCCAGGTGGGGAAACTGAGGCAGAGCCCTCAAGATTTGGCTGGAGGCAGCAGAGTTTGTGTGATGCCTGCGTGGCTCTCCTGGGGATGCTTTTGGCACCCCCGGGGTTGAGGCCATGGGCTAGTGTCCCAGCTGTGACCCAGTCACCATCCCTGGCGCTGCTGGGACCCGGTGGGTCGGTGCAGCCCCCCTGCGAGTGCTGCCATGGTCACTCCAGCGGGCTCCTCCAAGCCAGGCACTCCTCTTCCCCAGCCTTGCTGAGAGCTGTCACCTCCTCCCCAGCTGGAGGGTTTCCCTAGATTTTCTTGTGCTGCCCCCCTCTCTCCACCACCCACATACTCTTGGGCACCCCTCGCTCTGTCCCAAACCATCAGGGTCAGGAAAGTGGGATTTCAGGGTCACTTGGTTGGCCCCCCACTTCTCCATGTCCCTGGCTCCTAGGGGCAGCGTGGGGGGTGCTTGGCTCAGGGAGCTTTGTGGGGGCAGCTCGGTACCGTCTCTCTGCCCTGCGTGCCAGCTCCAGCGACCCTGTGGCTGTTGGTGATGCCCAGGAGCACCCAACCCACGTACCCACGCCTGGTTGTGAGCCCAGCAGCCCAACAGCTTATGAGGATTGTCCAAGGCGACCTGGCAGGGCCGGCAGCAAGGGCTGGAGCTGCCATGGGTCCTGCGGGGTGGGAATCTGGTGAATGGATCACCGCCACCGACCTGCCTGCAGACGGGGGACAGTGGCGCTGGTGCGTGCGAAGGCGGAGGAATGGGGACTTGGGGTGACTCCCTGAAGTAAACGGAAATAGCCCTGCGTGAGCAGCAGAAATTTGGTTATTGCTGTAACAGAATTTATTGCTGTCAGGCCAGGTTAGCGTGAGTCACTCCGCAAACACCATCCTCGTGTGTCTGGCAGGCGCTGGATTTCTAGGAGAGGCAGGGCTGGGGTAGGAGGGAAATGCTGGGTGCTTATCCCATGGTCTTCCTGGGATGGTCAGTGCCTTCTCGTTGCCCATGGCAGCAGGACAGGTCTCATCATGGGCCCTGCACTGACACTGAAGCCACAGCTTTGTCCCCTCCGTGCCTGGAGCTTCTCCCAGCCTTTGTCTCACAGGGCGATGGAGTGTCTGGATGAGAACTGGATGGGGGATGTCAGCTCATGGAGTGGGCTCGTTCTGGGGGATGTTGGTCAGGATGGAGATACAGCCCCACTGCCCCGAGCAGCTCCTTTTCCAGGGGGGATTAGGTGATGTGGAGCTGCTGAGGCTGGTATGGGGGCACCAAGTTTACAACACTAGCAGGAGGGGGACAGAAATGTTCTTATTTAGCAGAAAATAAGATGCTCAGGTCAAAATCCAATTAGGCTGCAAGGGATGCAAAGAGAAGTCATTACGGAATTGTCGATGCCAACATGAAGAGCCTGGGCAATGAAAATGGGAATTAGGTAGTCCTAATTCCTAATTTGAGGCACAACCTTAAATCAGAATTGCCAACACCCGGAGACATGTTCCTGTGGTGAAATCACAGGGGGTGACCTGGTTGGGGATGACCCTGGGGAGGGAGAAGTGGCCTTTTGCAGAGGAAAAACCATTACCTGTGACCAAGCCACTGCCACCAAAGCCACGAAGGTGGTGGTTGGCATGGGGTGGTGACAGCAAGAGCCGCTGCCCATCTCGGGCTCATACCAAAGCCCACGTGTGCAGCGGCCAAAGGCAATTTCCCAGTGTGGAAACTGGTGCCTTCCAAAACTGGGAGGATGCTGTAGCTGGCCTTATCTCAGCAGATAACAAGGATTTATCTGGGGGCTAAAAATTAGTGGTTGCTCAGTTGCAAGCAGTCACAACTCGGCTGTGTTTGTCATGTGCAAACAGGGTAAAGTCCACTGAGGCGCGGGTGCTCGCTGTTCATTCACTGGACAAAGCTCACCAAGCTGAAGGCAGCCATGAGGCACCCCAGGGAAAGGATTTAAATGGGAAAATGGGAATAATCACCAGAAAATGCTGAATGCTTTATTCAGTTCAAAAAAAATGCCATGACCCCATAGGTGTTTAAGGTTTTCCTTGCTGGGAAAAACGTCCTAAAGTCCTGGGTTTAACATCACGGTTTCCCCACATCCTCAGGGATGAGGAGGTTGGGATAAATCAAAAAGTCTCATGGAGGCTGGTAAATCACTAACCTGTTCCAGGTGATGGGCCTTGACCCTTTAAGTATCCCTGAGCTCAGCTTCCTAACGTCACAGCCAGGGTGTTGGGGTCACCTGTGATTTACAAAAGGGAATGAAGTTCTGAAGACAGCAGATACCTAAAAATACAGTTCAAGATGCTGAGCACCTCTTGGATGAAGACTTATTGGGAGAAGCTAATGAGCAGTGCGGGTGTCCCACGCCACGGTTCTGCCCCTTGGCCAGCACCGGTCCTCACCCGCACGCAGATGAGCATCCGCAGCATCCGGGAGGTGTAATATTGTCTGTGCAGCAAGCAGCACTTGGGTTGCACAGGGGCCTCATTTCAGAGCTGGCTAGCAGCCATGAGTGTAAAGCCATTCTGTGCTTCTGCAAAAAATGCAATTCTTCCTTTTTTCCAGGTGGGCAGCATGTCCTGAGACGCTCCAGCAATGCACAGCCTTTACTGGGCTTTTCCAAGGCATCCATCCTGCAGTATAAACTTACACGAATAAACATAGCTGTCTACTAAGCAAAATAATTCCTTGGACCCCTGATTAGACAAATATTCTCAGAATTGAAACAAGGCTACTTTTTAGCTGTAGACTAAACACAGCTCAACAGCTAGATACTGAAACTGCAGACACAAGAATTCCCCTGCCCTGGTGACACGGCTGACTTACTGTGCGAGTCACTGCACCCCCCTCAGAAAGTTACTGCAGCTTATCAGGGAGCTGAGATGCCCAGAAGCTGGCCGGAGAGCAGCCGCGGGAACACCTGGTCTTTGTCATCTGCATGGTGGGGATGGAAATCGGGGTTTGTTTGGGGACTTTGGGTTCCACTGGGTTTGATAAGGACCAGGGGGGGCAGAGATCTATTTGTGGGCTCTTGTCCTTCCAGACCGTGACCCTAGGGCTGGTCTTAGAAAAGCTCTATGGGGGGGTTGAGGGAAGTCTCTGCAGTGTGTGTGTGGGATACCCAGCTCAGCGCTGCCCCGTGCAGGCTGTCATCCTGCCCAGGGGACCCA